GATCCTAATACAAGCACTAGAGTCCCTATAAAGAGACTCCAATGCCTGTATCAAGCCAGCGCCCAACCCAAATGAGTTCAGTGTTTGCCATAGCACATCCCTATTCACTCTGTCATAGGCCTTTTCCAAGTCCATGAACGCCCAAAAAACCTTTTGGTTTTTGGCCAAAAACTTCTCCGCGATCATGCGCATGGAAAATACTTGATCTGTACATCCCATTCCCTTTCTGAATCCCGCTTGCACATCCCAAATTTTTCCATCAGTTTCTTTCATGACCCTTTCAATCAGTACCTTAGCATACAGTTTTCCCACAATGCTAAGAAGGCTGATGCCACGGTAGTTTTTACAGTGCTGCTGCGACCCTTTTCCTTTATATACTGGGACTAACACGGCTTTGCACCAGTCTACCGGTACCCGCTTCAGTTCCCAGCATAAATTAAACAAGGTGTGCAGCAAGCCTGCCACCACTTCCTCTCCAGCCCTTAGCATTTCGAGTGAAACTCTATCATATCCGGCAGCCTTACCTGCTTTCATGCTTTTCATTGCTTTCATTATTTCACCTATACTTATCTCGCTACCTCTTTCCTCTTCTTTCGGAATTTCTACTTCACTTGGTACACACGTTGTCTCCTCACTCATAAACACGCTTTCAAAATATTCCTTCCATCTCTTTAAACTCAAAACTTCATCATTCAGAATATAGCCATTCTCGTCTCTTATAGCATTCATCATAGGCTGTTTTGAATGTCCCCTGGCAGTTCTTACAAGTTTCCAGAACATTTTAATATTTGACTGGAAATTATCCGATATTCTTCTATCATTCTTATCCGTTCTTTCTTGCTTTTTTCTTTCAACTACTTCTTTTACTCTCTTATTAAGATGTCTAAAGACTGCCCTTTTTCTTTCAATATCATCATTCGTACCGCTAGAATTACCAGCCTTTGTTGCTAGTAAATCTAGCCATGCTCTCTTCTTTGCTTCAACTTCCATACGTACCTCATCATCCCACCATAATGTATTATTTTTCCTTTCATTATTTCTCTTACTAACACCACATACTTCGGTAGCTGCATCCACTAAACCTTTCTTTACATTTTGCCATACATTCTCCAAGTCTAACTCCTTCATACATAATTCATCCAAACCATTTATATTTTCTTTCAGTCTACATTTGAACTTGTTTTTCTCACCTTCATCTTGTAACCTTTCTGTTCTAATACGCTGTAACGCAGTGGTAGACACAGATGATCGATGGCGCCAACGCCTGAATAGACCATTAATTCGGCATAAAACCAAATAATGATCCGTTCCTACTTTAGAACCCCGGTAAACCCTTGTATCCACCACTGCGCCCCTCAATCTTTCATCCACAATTATTAAATCTATCATGCTTCTATCGTCACCTCTTTCCCAAGTATACATGTGAATCCTCTTGTGGCGAAAGCAAGTGTTCGTCACCTCTTTCCCAAGTATACATGTGAATCCTCTTGTGGCGAAAGCAAGTGTTCGTCACAAAAAGATTCTTTTCCATACATACGGTGAGAAGACTTTCACCATTCTCATTTATACTTTCATCACCAAACGTTCCCAATATTCTTTCATAACCAAGCCTCCTCACCCCAACCCTTCCATTAAAATTTCCTAGCATAATAATATTTCCATTTCCCTTACACTTCATTAACACCATCCTTACCATTTCCCAAAACTGCTCTCGGATATAAGTGGGCTTAGACATGTTTGGGGCGTAGATCCCTAACACAAACAACTTCTTTAAGCCCACTTTCATTCGTATCCATAGCAGTCTTGGGCTTACACATTCATACTCTTTCACACATTGGCCCATTCTTTCTGAAAGGATGATACCTACTCCCTGGCATGCCCGCTCGATCTCGTCTACACCAGACCAGTATGCGGTATACATGCCATGTGTAGTGACATCCTTCCCCTTCCTTTTCGTCTCATTTACACATAACACATCTATTCCTCTATCATACATCATATCGCATACTTCATCCATTTTATCATTCATTGCCACATACATTCAACGTAGCCAGACGGGCCTCTGCAATCCACTTTTCGCCTCTCCGGGAGACAGAACGTGACGGGTGGCGAACCTCGTCGCCGGTTTTCCTCCCGGAAACACAATATACTGATGAAACTAATATACAGGGATTACAACTATAATGATGATAGAGCTTAGCAGTTATAAAGCAATTTTATAAAATGAGCCCGAAGATTCTTCTTAAATGTTTGTTTGCAGGTAGGTTGTCCTAATTTTTCAAGTAGGTCATTCCATAGGCGTGCGGCTTGGACAGCAAACGATGAAGATATGAAACTCGAACGGTGAAAGGGTATAAAGAGAGCAAGAGCCTCCGATTAAACGAAGCTGTCTGTCATGAGTGTCGCGCAGGAACTGAAACTTATGTTTCAGATAATTCGGGTAATGGTTATCGAATAAATTAGAAAAAAAACTGTGTTAAGTATACTAATAAGTCTTTGCTAACGAATTGGAGGCCATTTAATCTGAGTGCGGAATGAGGATATGTGATCAAACTTGCGCAGACGAAAAATAAAAGGGATACAGCTATTGACGAGACGATTCAGCTTGTCAAGGAAAACCTCATTAAGATCAGGAAAACATACATCAGCATAGTCAATAATGGGCAAAATAAGAGACTGCACCAGAGTTATCTTTACCTTGATAGGAAGAAAGTTTCATAGACGGTTTAAAGCACTGAGCTTAGCAAAAACGGAACCACTGGTATTCTTAATTATAAATTCATTTTGTTTCGTGATCAAGGATACTAAATAAGGATTTTATCGCAATTATTTTTTTTATTCCCGACGAGAATAGATGTAGATGGCTATGAGCCACAGCAACCACTTGCCGCCAGGTGGACTGTTTACTCGTTTGTCACCCTTATCCTAAAAAAAAATCATTATAATTAACACCACCATTAGCGTCATTATGATTATTACATGGTAGTATGATATTAGTTAGGTATATCACTATAAAAACATCCTAGGGACAACGTATTATGCTTCCTCTACAGTGTCTTCTGCTTCTTCATCATCGAAAATTCACAATTTAAAATTCTTGTGCAGGATTTTAAATTGTGAATTTACGATCGCAGACAATTTTTTTAATTTTATCCCTTCATTAAAAAATATAGAACAGTGACATGTTTGCGATATTCGAATTACATCTCAGCATTTCTTCATTTTTGGTGAGAGAGAGTTTGGAGAACTGGGACGTTGTTGCTTTTTAAAAACATAGGCAGGGAACGAGCGACGGCGGTGTAGTAGCAAGGTTGAGCGACACAGTTAGTTGGCTTATGAGATAAACCACTTTTAAAGCAGATATTACAATTTGTATGATCATATTTTGCAAATTATAAATTCTTACTTTATTTGAACATTTTACTCTTGGCGGTGTTGAAATTACATGTCCAACTTGCGTCCAACTTCGTTTCGGAACAAAAAAATATTTCTTGGTACTTCTGCATAAAATTGTAGCAACGTTTTTGCCCAACATTTTAAAAAGAAGCAATTATTATATTGAAGTGAACGAACGATTAAACAACGAACCAGTTTGACAGGAAAAAATGACATACAATATAAAAAAGCATTCAATACATAATTTAAACATGGAATCATGAAACTAAATTGAAAACGTTTTACCACGTAGTGATTATAATATACTCTTTGGGTTTTAGACTAAATAAAGTTATGTTTGGGTAAGTACCACTTTACGATCGATTCTATTCTTTGATCTAGTTTGCGTAAATATGGTTGCTGATCATGAGGTCCCGGGTGAGGTCAAAATCAGTAGTTGGGTTTTTTTGTCAAGAAATTGTTAGTAGCAGCCCGTAGTCAGAAAGCTGGCGGTGTTTCATCCCCGTACCTCGGAAAGCACCTTAAGCCATCGATCCTGCGCCTGATCTCATTCCAGTCGAGTTAAAAAACCGTTCCACCTTCGAACTATGAGGGCGACCGTATAGAAAGTACACTTGTGTATACACCTGGGCACAGTGACGGCCCTAGCAAATTCTTTAGGTGGTGCGGGATCTCATAGAGACGCCCCTCTAAATACAAAACCATCGTGTTCTTATACTATGCAGTTGCTTTTTCGAGATTTTAAATAGTATTAGACCGATCAAATATCTACAAGTGTATATGCGGGGCAAGCACAGTTATGTCTGTCGGTCTTGCCATAGCACTTGGTCTGCTTATTCACGTTATGAGCGGTTTACACGGGCTTCGTAGCTAAGCGCTTAGTACTTGTCACTAATACTAAGTCCTCATGTGTAAACACGCTGATTAGTGCTTATTATTAGTATTTGTAAATAGTGGAAGTGTATAGAAAACGAACCTATTTACTAAGCGACAAGTCGATACCCCCACCACGATTAACTAAGCACTTGTCGCTTGCTGACCGTTTGTTAACAGTTCGACAAGTTAGTTGGTGACAAGTTGTGCACCGGTAAGTGAAAACACGTGTTTACTTATGTGATCATGGCTGCGGAAAGGTGGAATTCGGAAACAACAATGAAGTTCATTCAGGAATTTAAATCCTATGAATCTTTATGGAACCACAAATAGGTTTTATATAAAAATAAACTCGCAAAAGATGCTGCTTATCAGAAAATCGTTGAAGAGATCTCGATCATGCTTAAAATAATAATGTCTGAATATTGTTTAAACACACTGCGCAAAATCAGGCGGCATCGCTCCATTTCGAATGTCTGGTCACTATGGTTCATAAAAGATAGCTTGATCTCTGCGACAGCTGTCAGTAAAAATCACGCCTATGAAGTCCTGAATTTCTTAGTATAGTCTGCGCGGAAGTGCTAGTCATCGCCTTAGGTATGTGAGCGGCAGGACGGGGGAGGTAGATAAACATCAAGCTGACGCAGTCTGCCGTCAACCGCCGCGACGGTTACACGATTCAGTTGTACGCGACAGTTTTCTCCAAAAATACACGAGATAAATATTCTAAGATGGGTCCGCCAATACCACGACAAGTGAAAAATATTATTTATAATGTACATAGTTTTTTTTTAAGACGAAAGGGCGACAAGGAAAGTATGGAACACAAATATGATATGAACATTAATAAATTAGTAGCAGAGGCTACAGGAGTGTCTGCCCGCACCGTAATGCGAATTGTAGCTGAAGGAAATTCGAGTCTACAAACATCGGAAATTGCAAAATTTTCATCTCCGCGGAAACCTAAAGAAATAAAAAAGAGAATCCAGATTGATGATTTTGACATGGGAGTTATACGAAGAAAAATTCATCAATTTTATACTAGTGATAAGAAAATCCCAAGTATTCGTAAGCTGCTTGCAGTTTTAAAAGAAGATGGCATTGTGAACTGCGGTTGTACCTATTTACGACAGCTTTTACATAAGATGGGATATTTATTTAAAAAATGTAAATCTAAGAGACACATTTTAATTGAGAGGCCCAGTATTGCTGAATGGAGAGTAAGGTATTTAAGAGCTATACGGAAACATAGAAATGAAAACCGAAACATATATTATCTGGACGAAACCTACGTTAATAGTAGCCACACCTCCAATATATGTTGGCAATCCGAATCTGAGCCTGGAATTTATGCTGATATTGGCAAAGGGCGTCGTTTGGTGATTGTTCATGGTGGTAGCCGAGACGGATTAGTTAACGGTGCCTTAACAATTTTCAAATCAGATTCGAAATGTGGGGATTACCATGGCGATATGAATGCCACAAATTTTCATAACTGGGTTAGTCACAAATTGAAAAATAAACTAGCTCCTAATTCAGTGGTCGTAATGGACAATGCCTCCTACCATTGTGTACAGGTAAAGAAAAAACCTACTATGTCAAGTTTAAAAAGGGACATGCAAGATTGGTTACGCGAACGTAATGTTGAATTTACACCAGATAATACAAAAGCCGAACTCTTTCATTTGATAAATAGAACTCAGTCCAAAAAAATTTACGTCATTGACGAAATATTAAAGGCTTCAGGTCATATCGTTCTTCGCCTTCCGCCATATTATCCTGATCTCAACCCCATTGAGCTTGTGTGGGCCGATATAAAGAACAATTTAGCTACAAATTATATAAATACTTCATTGGACGACAAAATTCCAATCATCACAAAATTGTTTTCTGAATTCACTCCGGGAAGATGGCAAAAGTGTGACGACCACGTACAGAAAATCGAGAACCAATATTGGGACCACGATATGAGGTTTGACAATGTAATAGACGAGTTGATCATAAACCTGGGAAACGATTCAGATTCTGAGGAGGATATGGAAATTGAAGACATGTATAGTAATGAAGAAGAAGAAAATATGGATTAATTTTGTGCTATAACGGATTTCGCTATAGAACTATAGCTGGTATACCAACTGGTCCACTAGCTTTATTCATGTCTAGACACCGCAAGGTTTTAATAACCTCCTTATTTGTGATACGAACCCACAGGTCGAACATAGAATTCTCGCAGTAAGGTAATTTAGGTTTAATTTGGGTGGTGAGTTTAGAAAACTGTTTTGTATTATAAATAATAAAATCTAATTAACGCTTTTAAATACGTGTTAATTTTTGTCTAGCCCGGAAAATATAAATAATTTACCCATTATGTTAATTAAGACAGTTTCTAACATGGTTATCCGGAGATTTATCTGTCCTCAAATATCTCGTGTGCGTCTTGTCAATCGCGTCCTCCCCCGTCTCGCCGCTTGCATACCTAAGGCGATGACTAGCACTTCCGCGCAGACTATAGTACAGACACACATTACCTGTCAATGTCATACTTTATGGGCATGCACTAATTATAGTTCATAAAAGATAGCTTGATCTCTGCGACAGCTGTCAGTAAAAATCACGCCTATGAAGTCCTGAATTTCTTAGTAGTACAGACAGTACCTGTCAATGTCATACAAAGGGCATGCCGACCTAATTAGTGCATGCCCATAAAGTATGACATTGACGGGTACTGTCTGTGTGTATTTCTCGTAATAGGAGTTAATAATCTTGTTTGACAACTTTTATTTAAACTGTTTTTCTGCAGACAGTGTTAAAAATATTAAGAACTAACAACAACAAAAAGCCTAGGTGGCCAGCTTTCTGGCTTATGCGCTTTTTTTATTATTTCGGAATAATTTAACTTCTGGGCAATAGAATTTGCTATGGAAACGTAGATAAATTTTATGTTTTAATGTACTAAAACTTCAACAAAATATCTATTGTGATCACTGCTATGGCTATAGTTCACGGCTAAGTCCTGTCTTCAATGAATAGAAGTTGCTTAACTGTGGGCAATTAGGCAAAGTAAAATGGGCGAAATAGATAGTTTCCCAGATGTGTTACGTTTGATTTTATTTATTTAAATTATGACTATCTGTGGATGCCCCGTGTAGAGGCGAAACACGTATCGTATTATCAAGAGTGGTGTGTCGTCCCTCGTTTGGTACTGTTGGTAGTGGCTACGGGAATTGTGCGTGCAATTGAGAGGGGTCAGACTGCGTAGGAAACATCATTTCATTTGGTACGCGAATATGAGCAAATTAAGTTCTAATAACTTCAACGAATATCCACTACCCCATATCTTCTCGTAGGTGTCGTAAAAGGCGACAGAGGGAAACAGGCAGAAGATGGGCAGCAGCACCACCTTCCTGATAACAGCAACTTTACAACAAAAAAACTGCGGTTGCCAAGCCGCTCGCCAGGCGTGACAACTATGGTAATATACCCCCCATGAGCAATTACACAAATAGACGGCCCCCAGTTCCCGGCGGCCCTGCTATTCCTGGATACGGTGGCGACCATGGTAACGGCGGGGCAGCGGGTGCTAAGAATCTCCGGTGGAGGTTCGGTTGCCACCTAAAAATACTTGACCTGGCAACTTACCACGCACACACCCTAAGGAATGTCGAGAAGATCCTGGAGCTAGAAGAAGAGATAGACAAGTTGCGCTGGAATATTATAGGATTATCCGAGGCCTGAAGAGAGGAGGACACGGTGATTTTCGTATCCGACAACTTGTTCTATCACCGGGAGGGCGACTATCTGTCCCAAAGTTGCTGTTGGATTTAACGTCCACAAGTCTCTCGTTAACAATGTTGTAAAGATTGGGAGTGTGTCGACGAGGGTTGCGTACCTTTTACTCAAAATCACTAAACGGTATTCGCTGAAGGTCATACAGGTTTACGCATCAACGTCAGCACATCCCGATAAGGAAGGAGGTGGAGGAAATTTATGAGATATTTCTAGAGCCATGCATTCCTCCAAAACCCACTATACGAGTACGGTAGTAATAGGAGACTTCAATTCAAAACTAGGCACAAGAAAGAACGGTGAGCTGAAGGTTGGGAAATTTGGGATAGGGCAACGGAACCCAAGGGGCCAGCAGCTGGCCGACTTTATGGAGAACGAGGGACTCTTGATGATGAACTCTTTCTTCCAGAAGCAGCCTCACAGAAAGTGGACCTAGTCCAGACTCGACGGTTCGACAAAAAATGAGATTGATTTCATTATGACGATTAAACGACAACTATTCAGTGATGTCTCAGTGATCGCAAGAGTGAAAACTGGCAGCGATCACCGAAAGGTTAGAGGCACACTGAACCTAAACGTTAAGATGGAGAGGTCTCGTCTAATGCAGTCAACGCTCCGTCCACCTCGTGCTCTAATCCAAAGTCCCAAAACCTTTCAGCTTGAGTTACAAAACCGTTTTCAGTGCCCAAAAATTGCAATGCAGTGGACGATATGAATGACAAGCTCATGGAAACTGTTCACGTGGTCGGAGCTAAGTTCTGCAAGACTCGCCACAGAAGAACACAAAAACTTTGCCATCACACTCTTAATCTCATGGTTGTTAGACGAGAAATGAAGCTGCAGTCTTCAACAGATTCGACAGCATACAGGCAACTGAATCGACAGATCTCCAAATGGATACGGCGCGACTTGCGCAACTTCAATACAGCTCGTATTGACGAAGCGATTGAGCGGAAACAGGGTTCCAAAGTCTTTACCAGAGAACTGTCTGCCAGAAAGAGCCAACTCAAAGCTGAAGACCGAGTGCGGCAGCATCGTTTCCGAGACACCTGAGATTTTGAGTGAGATTGAGAGGTTCTATGGGCAGCTGTACACTTCATCACGTTCCAAGAGCAAGTCTTATCCGACACTATTGCGATGATATCCCGGACGTCAGTCTGAGCGAGATTAGAATGACTCTCCAGCACCTTAAAAACGGCAGGGCCAAGGCGAGGATGGAATTACAGTGAAGCTTCTGAAAGCGGGTGGAACACCGGTACTTAAAGTCCTTCAGAAGCACTTCAATTCCGTCCTCCATGGTGGCACTACTCCGGAGGCGTGGAGCAGAAGTGGTCTTGTTCTTCAAGAAAGGCGACAACGTTCTCTTGAAGAACTACAGACCGATTTCCCTTCTGAGCTGCGTCTACGTACTGTTTTCGAGAGTCATTACGAATCGTCTCTCACGCAGACTTGACGACTTCCAGCCTCCCGAACAAGCCGGTTTCCGAAAAGGCTTCAGTACCATAGACCACATACATACACTGCGGCAGATTGTACAGAAGACTGAAGAGTACAATCTGCCACTTTGCCTGGCGTATGTGGACTACTACTAGAAAGCCTTTGATACGGTCAGGTACTGGTGATGCTCTTTACACCGGCCGAGCCAATATTTCTCGGGAAAACGTCTCCGAGTGCCGGAACAAACTTGTGTCTGAAGTCGAGTCTTTGCTGAACAGAGTCTCAGATTGAGGGCGACTAAATCTAGTCCAGTTTAACCCCCAGAAGACACAAGTTTGCGCGTTAACCGCTAAAAAGAACCCCTATGTCGTATCTAATCAGTTTCAAGGCACTCCCCTTGTTGCCTCAGCCAGTATCGGAATCCTCGGCGTCGACATATCGAGTGACGTGCAGTTTCGTGGTCACTTGGAAGAGAAGGCCAAATTGGCCTCTAAAAAGCTTGGCGTGCTCAGCAGAGCGGGACAGTATTTCATGCCGGCACACCGCCTGCAACTTTACAAGGCGCAGGTTCGGCCGCACATGGAATACTGTTCCCATCTCTGGGCTGGGACTCCCCCAGTACCAGCTCCTTCCACTTGACCACATCCAGCGCAGAGCGGCTCGAATCGTCGACGACCGAGTGTTTTCCGATCGGCTCGATTCACTTGCACTGCGAAGAATGTTGCATCTCTTTGCATTTTCTTTCGCATATACCATGGCGAGTGCTCTGAGGAATTGTTCGGATTAATCCCAGCCGCCAAATTTCGTGAACGCACTACGCGGCAAACGTCCCGATACCATTCATATCATCTGGATGCTTGGCGGTCCACCACTGTACGTTTCAAGAGGAGTTTTCTTCCGCGTACAACCTCTCTGTGGAATAGTTTACCACCAGCGATTTTTCCGGACCCATACGACCTGGGGACCTTCAAGAAAAGAGCGTACTCCTTTCTAAAGGGCCGGCAACGCACCTGCAATTCCCCTGGTGTTGCGGTTGATCATGGGCGGCGGTAGTCACTTAACATCAGGTGAGCCGCATGCTCGTTTGTCCCCTCTTCTATAAAAAAAAACGGTCAAAATTTGCACGGTGCTACAGTCCCTTAAGCGGTGCCAAGTTGACTGTCGGTACATCGAAGTGTTGAAGTGTTTGTACAGTTGGGCTACGATGGCTATTCGAGTACAGAACCAGAGTACGAAACCTATCCAATTGCAAAGAGGTGTAAGACAGGGTGACGTAATATCCCCGAAACTCTTCACCGCTGCATTGGAAGACTTGTTCAAGCTACTGGACTGGAATGGCTACGGTATTAACATCAAAGGCGAGTACATCAGTCACGTCGTTTGCCGAGATTACTCGTGGAGGACTTAAGCACTATGCTCAATCACCTCAATAGTTGACCCAACGGAGAGGTCTTAAGATGAACATGGACAAAACAAAGATCATGTTTAATGTCCATGTCACACCTATGCCGGTAGTTGTTGACGAGTATGTTTACCTACCTGATATACCTCAAAACCTAAAAACTAGATTGTACAACCAGTGCGTGTTGCCAGTGATGACTTACGAATCTGAGACGTGGTCCTTCATCGCTAAACGTATGAGGACGCTCAAGGTCGCTCAGCAAGCAATAGAGAGGGCTATGATCGGGGTTTCTTTGCGTGATAAACTTAGAAATGAGGATATACGCAGTAGAACCAGTGACCAACATAGCCCAACTGACTAGGAAGCTGAAAAAAAGGTTCTTGAGTGACAGCCTCGTACCGGTGGGCGTAGTGTAGGGCAACCCCCCACTAAATGGAGTGACGACCTGGTAAGACATGCAGG